ACTGGTCACCAGCTGGATTTAGCTCCATTCATATTGCAATTTTTTTATTTTTCTAGTCCTTGTATTGAGGTACATTTCTTTCCAAAGTGAGATCAACCCTCAGCAAACTAATAGACGCAAAAGTACTTGTTAGATCAAAAATTAGGGTTTCATTTTTAACATGATGAATCACTACAAGTCACATGCTGTCCTTTCTGAAAACGTGCTAATTAATCTCTTACTGCCACCAGTAGCAAAAGTCTCCTTGAGACTGCAAATAAACTGGCAGCATTTCCCAAGGTCACATATTCCTGAGAAGATTTCATCTATTTATTTATTTATTTATTTTTGCAACGGGACATTTCCATTGACACTAGAAGTTTTGCTTGTTGCTGTACACAAAGTGGTGGAAATCTGAACTGCAAGATCCCCATAGTCTTTTTTCTCACTCTTTTTATTGTACCCCACTCCAAGGGGTCCTGCATTAGGATGGGGCTTCCAAGGGGTTACAACACTACAGGTAGGTAATGGAGACTACCATAACTACAGCTGTAATGAAGCTGGTAGGAAAATGTGGGAAAGAAGTTAGGCAATGAGGTCCAGAGTGCAGGGAAGGGCCAGTATCAGCAGCCAGAGCCTGGGCTGGGATGCAGAAGGTAACTTTGTCTGTCCTGCTGGTTGCAGCTGGGTCATGGGGATAAGAAGGACCCTGGTTAGAAATCTCCAAATGTAGCAAATGCTGCCTTGGAAAAAAAAAGTATGAAAAAAACTTTTCCCTATCTCCATTGTGGCTTTTCTGCCCAATGTTGTACGTGCTGTTATGGTTTAAGGGTTACCAGCCTGAAAGGGAAGGACAGGTGGTGTCTGTAGGACCCTGGAGGGTCAGAGATCAGTACTGTTCCCTCCCCTTTCCGGACACAGCCTATCAAAAAAACGAAGTTTTCACGGGCTTTTCTTGGCTTTCCTGGGCTGCTTCCTGTCACATCTCGGGACGGCTGGGCCTAGCTCCACGTGCTCGGCAGCATCCACCGCCACCCGCTCCCGGCACCACTGCGGTCCCTGGTGACGAGTCACAGCAGTCGCAGCGGCCACGAGGCACTGCTTGGACACTTCCACTCGGGACTACTGGGGATCGGGTTTTGTATATACTTAAATATGCTTTGTCCCTTATTAATTCCCTTTTCCTTTTTCCTGTTGTTTTCATTAAACTTGTTACAGTCTTAACTTCCAACCTTGTGCGGAGCATTTTTTTTTTATTATTCTCTCTCTATTCCCTTTTCTTAATCCTCCCCCTGGGAGGGGTAGCGGCAATAGAGAGAAAATCCTGCTCTCTCTCTCTCTGACCCTTAAACAGAGACACGTGCAAACCAGAGGGTGGCTGCACTGCCCTCTCCAGCACCCAGGAGCTGCCCACCTTGCACATGGTCTGGGCTTGGGCAGAAGGATGGGGCTGCCCCCGCTGCACCCTGGGGGTGAGGGGTGGCTGCCGTGTTTGCTTCATTTCTGCTGGGCTGGTAGGGAGGATTGTAGGCAGGCAGTGCCCACAGCACATTTCAGAAATGATTATTTTCTGTATTCATCCCCTTATCTCAGCTTTAGTCATTTGCCTTTTGTTGCCTACCTTTATTTCCTATCAACGTTGATGCTGAATGCTAATTACTCTGGGTGAATATATTTCAAAGTGATCATAAATTTCATGGGCTTTAGGTTTATTTTCCATATCTATTGGTTTCCTACAGAGAACTCCCTGAGCTTTTCCTCCCAGTCTGTAGGATTAGGATGGCTGACAGGCTCTGAAGCCCGAAGATTTTAAGATGTATTTCTCTTATTTCTCTTTGATATAGGAGCCTCCTGGGATCTGGGCAGTGTTAGACTGAGGTGTGTGAGAGCCTGTATGGGAGGTTCAGATCAAGAGGAGGCCTGATTTTTTCATGCCTGCTCCCTCAGCCAAGCTCTGATTTGATGTCTCCAGGGACGTTGTTTTGGCACAGTAAGGCCGATCACTCCCTGTGGAGGTCAGTCCTCCTCCTCTCCTCGCCCAAGGGCACAGCAGCAGTTACTGGAGGCGGTTTCCCCTGACGATGATGTGTTAGGATGTCTGCATGCAGGGAAGCATTGACCCTCTCAAGAGCTGGTGGGGAGGTGAGTAGAAGCAGCAGCGGGACATTAATGTCCTCTCCAGCCTCAAGAATTGCTGCTGGGCATGTGTGAGGATACCCTGAAGAACAGTGCAGTGGGATGAGTGAAAAAATGCTGCATTAGCGGTATGGAATTGAAAATGTACTTGGGAAAGAGGACCAGGGTTTGATGGAGCGTGTTAGGACAGTTAGAGCAACGAAACACTTGGCTTGTGAGAAAGAAGTAATTGGAGTCTTGATACCTCCTTTGCGGTGAATAGATGGTATCTGACAGCCACTAGTGGGTATGTGAAAGTCACTGTTAGAGGCAGAGGGATGCGAGGTGTAGTGTCTGTGTGAGCAGGTCATGCCTTGCAGTAAGAGCAGAGCTGTAGAAGCCAAAGAGTGCTGAGGCACCAGCATTTGCCCTCCAGGCATCTGGGAGTGGTTTGTGGGCAAATAGTGCCTTACACTTACACACAAAACAGGTGGAGATGGTATTTATGAAGACATTTAAATGCACGCAGGTACCTACCTGTAACATGGATGGGGTCAACGTTTTTCAGTCTCAGCCTGTCGAGTGGGATGGGCTGGTCCAGGACTGTGCAAACCCCCCCCCCTCTTATGAATGACTGCAGCTCAGGAGTGAGGGAAGGACAGACTGGGATTAAGCTGGTGTCTGAGCCCCCGTATTTCTGGGAACAGAAAATGAAGCTGGTTACCTGGTTGTCTGCTGTCTGCTCATCAAGTATAGGCACTAAACAGCCTTAAATTATGCTATATCTCCATTTTAAACAAGGGGAAATTGGGGCAAAGAGAGGACACATGCAAAAGGTTATGTTGAAACTGAGAACGACGCTAACCTTCCATCTATTTTAACATTTCCCTGTTTACTTCTTTCCAACAGTTCTCATATCTCTGGGATAAAAATTTCTCAGGTCGCTGGACTGAGTCATGAGGGGAGCATTAGAAGAATTCTTACATTCTTGAAACTTTTCTGAGCTTTAGGAATCCAGCACATCAGAACAACACCAGAAAAATACTAAGGTCTTGTAGCGTAAATGCTGCCTGTAATAATGTTCCTGTAACATACTGAGCCTAGAAACAGGGTTTTGAATCAGTGTTACTATCAGCATAAGGAAGTACCACCCATCTTTTGTGTCTATTAGTCATCTTGTATTTTTGTTGTTAGACCAGTCTTCCGAAGGACATTCAAAATATTTTCCAAGCTAAAAACCAAAACAACCACAACCATGTATATCTATCCATTATTACCTTTTTGTTACGTTTAATCTTGGTAATTAATAGCAAATCATCAAATAGGAAGAGGTAGACATCAAGGAGTCTTGTGCTTTCTGAGAAGGAAAACAAAAATATCTATTTGATGGTGTGATTATTTTAAGGAATTGCTAATTCTAAGATAAAGCACATCAATGAATCACCGCATCTTACAAAATCCTTTTAACAAAGAAGCTTGGTTTCCAGCATAGTACACAATTACTTATTCCCTAGTCTGCACTCTCAAAAGCAGCACTTAAAAAATCTTCTTTCTCTTGATGATGTTGGCTTCTAATACTTGTACCTTGTAGCTGCTACCTCATTATCAAAAAACAGCTCCTTGCCTGCCAGGAAAAGTGATTGGGATCACCTGGAGTTCCTATGAATACAACAATCAGCATGCTATAAATTAGAAAATCCTACCTGGTAAAGACTGAACCTTCTAAAAATGGTGGAGATAAAAAAGAGAGAAATGCCTTCTTTTATAATTTGTCCTCTGGCTACTCTGTACCAATAGGGCATCTCTAGGTATGAAAAGTAGGCATGACCGATGCAAGATCTTTCATCCAACACACTTCCCCAAGAAGGCCAAGCTAGAGCATGATGTTCAGTCAAGTTTTAATATGAATCCTAGAATGGTTTGGGTTGAAACAGACCTTAGAGATCATCCAGACCAACCCCCCTGCCATGGGCAGGGACACCTCCCACCAGACCAGGTGGCTCAAAACCCTGTCCAACCTGGCCTTGAACATTTTCAGGGAGGGGGCATCCACATCTTTCCTGGGCAACCTGTGCCAGTGTTTCATATGTCTAAGAAAGGAGACTTTGCAGCCTCTTTGGTCCCCTGTACCAATATTTGACCACCCTAATTGTTTACAAGTTTTTCCAAATATCTAATGAGGGAATACCCTATGCTGCAACTTGCATTGTTATGTCTCATCCTTTAGCTCCATCTGCCTTAAACGAGCCATTAGGGCAGTTGAAGACAACTGTAATGTCTTCCCTGAGCCTTCTCTTCCTACATCTGAACAAACCCACTTCTCTCAGCTGCTCTTATTCCCAATTACAGGATTACAAAAAAAATGTGCAATTGTGCTCTCGGTGATCTCAGCTTCATTCAAACAGGCACAGTTCACCTTAACACCAAACTTGTGTGAGTCTTTAGAGTTGTGACTTCAGGACATGCTTCTTTCTGTTGTGCAATGTTTTATTTGATTTGTGACTTCATTTTTGTTTTGAAAGATACTTCATTCAGAAAAGTGGCCAAATGCCAGGCACCTTTATATTGCAGATTGCAGGCAGCTGACTGTCTTGGTGGGTAAGAGTTATGCTTATACCTCCTCCATTTTCTAATAATGTATTTCAGAGAGAAATGTGGACATCCAATGGCCACCGTTACCTCCTGCATTGGGGGCTGATACCTCAATATGCTATGAACACAGAGGGAAACATTAGTAGGAGAGGACTCAGTGCCTTTCTTCCTCCTCTGCCTGCCACCCCCTAAAATTCATTGGCAAACTTTTCTTCTGCTCTCCCTGTTATCCCTTCTTATGTGGGAAGAAAAGCAAAAACACTGAAAAAATGGACCATGTCTTTCTTGCTGCTTCCTTTATAATAGTAATACTGGTGGTGGGAGACAGAAAGCGTTGGGTGTTTATTCTCTTCACCTTTGCTCCTGAGGGGGTGGTGAAGGACATACAAGACGTGGGCTGTGCTCATTTCTGTCAAACCATTGCTACAGCCCTGCAGTCACCATGACATGCAGTTTCCAGCATCCTTTCAGATGCTGGTTTTCTCCAAACTGCCCTGGCTCTAATTCCTGCTCAGGTGAGGAGGAAATCCTCCTCTCTTGTGCAGGCAGAGATTCTGCAGCAGCTCCCCGGGAAACAGCCTGTGCCCTGCTACAAAATGATGCCTGTGTGTCTGGAGACGCAAGTCTGCTCTGCCAGGGTGACAGACAGCTGTGAGCAGCGCTGTAGAAGTCACTGTGCTACCTGTGGAGTTAATGGTGTGTTGTGTGAGTGCTTTGTTCATCAAAGGGAAGCCACCCGGCAGGACACCACCTTCTTGTACCAAGGTAGACATCAAAACTTAGCAGACATGAAATATGAAATAAAAATAGGGAAAATCCTCTGGACTTTTTAGTAGTTTTCAATGAAACACAAAGCAGATATGGTATAACAGAGGCAAGGCATGTGAGTCATCTTGCATAGGACAGCCCAAACTTCCAGATTTCCTATTGTTATGCTCTTGAATGTGATAGTAAAACTGTTCCTTTGAGTGGAAGGCATTGGCCAGTTAAGCTGATTTCTCCTGCACCTGACAGACTGAATATCCAGATGTGGCAATAAACAACCATGCAGATTGCATTGGCGGCTTGGCTGTTTCTCAGTCTCTCTTTAACAAGCCATACATTTGCTTTTTTCTTTCCTGCACCTGCCCAAGTGCTGTTGCATTTGTTCATTCTAGACCTGCCATAACAAAATATGATTCTGATAAGCTAACTCCTGATACCAGGACAATTAGGGACATTACCTGCTAGCGCCAGCCTCCCTTCATGAAGGAGAAGTCTGTTCGCTGAAGACAAAATGTTTTCACTGCTGTTTTCTCTTAAGCTCTGCTTCAAACACTTGACCCAAAAAAGAGGGAGAGAGAGAGAAAGAAAGAGAATGGGGAATCTTGTACATCTGATGATGGACTGGGAGGCAACCAGCAGTTAAACAAACTGAGCACATGTGTGCTGTTATCTCAGGCTAAATAGATCACGCAGCTAATAACTGAGCATGGCTGTGTTTCTTCAGGAGTGCTATTGCTTAAATGTGTTTACGCTTTTGAAATGTTAAGCTGGGTTTTTCTTTTCCGGAGTGCGTTTAATGGGTTTTGCAGTCCTGCGTGTGAACAGACATAATCCTTGAGGTGAGACCCACTTCATGATGTTACCATCGTGCTGCTTAAAGTCTGTCTGTATAGGTAAGGGGTTAACCACAGCAGAAAGGTGCACGTGTTCCCAGGTATGCTGTGTAATTTTTTGTAACACTATTTAAATGTAAATAAAAATTTCTTTGGCTCAGCTTAGGGAATGAAAGACACAACTAATTTCTACTTTGTATCCTTGCAAAAAGGTAATAATACATCTATCCCATTTCATTCTGCCTCCTAAAAGCAAACACTGGAGAGTCCTCCTGGATAATCCATCTGTACTCTCTTGGATGCTGGCTGAGAGCAGCCCATGCTGCCATTCAAGGCACTGGGCACAGCCTGCGTGTTTGGGTCCAGTGTTTGCAGGGCTCAGGCTGCAGCTGCTCCTGTTAGAGCAGAGCCATCCCCAGTAACAAGCAGCCAGCTTTAGACCAGGCTATGAAGATAGAAGGGAAACTAAAGCTTTCTGAAGGAAAAAATGCCCTTTGAAAAAACTGCTTACCTCTGGGACAAAGAATCTCTTGTCACGATCCCAGACCTGAGGCCAAATTATGACCTCTTGCAGCTGCCTGAACTTCTGAAAGTTGTCCAGCCACTTGACTTTACCTTCCAGATCCCCTGAAATATGTGAAACATCAGTCACTGCCAAGTCTGGCAAAACCAGGCCTGTTTCTAGAAGATGCTGAATACCAATTTTCTCCAGTGGAAGACAAAGCAACTCACATGTGAAGCCCCAGATGAAATCTTGACCTCATTGTAAAAAATGCCTAAACTCTTCTTAGGTGAGCAGAGCCAGAATTTCAGACCATGCATTCAAACGTGCTTAAATTCACTGCTAAATGAAAAGGTTGTGTTTACTCGTCTGACTGAGGAACAGGGGGACTCTTATAAAACTCAAACTGTCATCTTAAAAAGTTCTTTAAAAAAATCCTGCCTAAACCATCTGAGGTAGTGAAAGAAAAATTATTTCCATTATGTATAGCCTGATCAGAAGATTGTTGAAATTAGTGAGAATTCATTTCGGAGGATGTGGTGCCAGAAGTGACTGAAATATTTAACTGGGATGGGGGTACCTCAGAATATGAGAAATAGAGACTAAGTCTTTGTTAATTCAGGGCCATTATGGGGAAAACTTAAGTGGATCTGCAACTTAAGTTCCAAGTTTTTGTGTTGACTGATACTGCAAATAGCGGTTCCAGATTCACACACACAGGTGTATACAGCAGAATGGGAATACTGGGACTGCAACTGTTCCTTATCTCACTGATTCACTGATCAAAAAATGAAGGCAGATCTTTTTCAGGTGTCTGTGAATAAAGAGGGGTCACCCCTGTGGTTCCTTGGCTCAGAGGTATCTAAACTCTGGAAAGACCTATTTTTTTGCCAGCAATTTTCCCCAGATATCTCATGGTCTTTTGGGGCTGTACCGAAAACCGCTGTCCTCCCAGCAGAAGTCCCCACACTAGCAACAAAACCATCTTATTTTCCTATGGGAATCATACTGTGCTGAAAAGTGTGCTCCTTGTGTGGTCATTAGGCTAGACTCCTCATAAAACCTGGCAAGAAGAGAAAGAACCCAAATCTCTCTTTTAGGTGGGGATTCTGTCACTGGAGAATTTACCCATGAAGCAGCAACCCCAGTTTTATGCATCTTTAGAGGACATTAACTCTCTACCTCACCTCCCAGGAAGAAGTTTGAGCCTTCAGCTTCCAGGAGAGAGAGGAGGATGGCAGCAGAGAGAGCGCCACCGTGCTGGGTGGCTCAGAGCAGTGCTGTGGCCCTAGTGAGCTGCTGGTTGGGATGAAGCACTGCCTGGCACCTCTCTCTGCCAGGCTTAGCACAATGGGCATTTTGCTGGTGCACTGTCTTGTCTGGGATTTCACTGGGAACTTAACGAAGCCTTTTGAGAATGAGCCTATCTGCTGATGTGCCGTGACCATAAGGCACTTAGAGATGCATTTATGGCTTCCTGAACAAGACTTTTTAGTAAAAAATTTATTAATTCAAAATGTAAGGGAAAAAAGAAAATCTGCCTGGACCAACTCCTTTTTCCATAACAGCTAGAGAAAATCTGTAGCTGAGATACCTCTTCAGCTACTTTACGTGGTAGGACCCTGTCATTTATTGAAAGGTCACTGACATAATATTCCCCTTGTGAGTGCAATTTTATCCTATTAAGGATTAGCCCAAATAAATCCTCCCTAGACATAAATCCAACTCAAAGTCTTCTTTGTTTGAGATCTTTCTTAATTTGCTCCAATCTGAGACCTGCTCTTAATTGTTTGCATGTCACTGCAGATGATTCTGAGCAAATACAAGTGACTCACTGATTTGGGAGTCCCATGACCTTGCTCAGAGAGGCTTTGACAGCACAAGAGTAGCACCAATCATTCCCTACAGAATGAGGAAGGGCTCAGGACTGTAGAAAGGCATGAACATCGTCCTTGCATCTCTGCAGGGAGACCAGACCCATTCACACTCAAAGGACATGCACAGAAAAGCCACAGAACTGGCTAATTGTTAATTGCACACTCGAGTTTTAACCTTAGCTACCTACGTATGGACTTTTCCACCGTCTCTTTAAGTGACCAGATAAAACCTCTCTCTGCTTCGTCAGTGCTCCTCTTCCAGATGTTGTTGAGGAGGAGGGGGTAGCGCGTCAGACGATGCAAAGGAGCGACCAGCAGCTCCGGCAGATGCAGCCGCTTGCACTGCTCGTTTTGTTCGCACCACTGCTGAAGACAAGGAAAAGCTGCCTTAGGCCTCAGCTTGCCCCCTGGCAGGGAGGCAGTGAACAGTTTTCTGCATCATTGGCTGACTGTAATGAGACAGAGACTAATGAAAGATGAACTCCTCACACAGTGAGAGTTAGGGCAGCATAAAGGCTCTCCTCAGGGGGAATTGCATCGCTCCTTCAGATCCACTTTCTTCATTGCTGCTTCCTATTTCATATGCTGTGGCCATGCTAGTGGATCAAGTGGTAACCTTATATATCTGCCATTTTAATTTCACCAGGAAGACCTCAGTTACACCTGAGGACCACCTTATGTTTTAGGGTCACTTGCTACTTCCCAGTGGGCACCTTTTCCCTAGGCATGAGTGTCTGAAATCCCTGTCAGGGACTGAGCAATAGGAATCTCCCAGACCATGAAAGCTGCAGTGGTTGTGACTGCTACAAAGAGGTATCTTCCTGGTCTTGGGCTGACTGTGAGAAAAGCCCACGTCTTCAGGTTTCTTTTTCTAAGCCTGTAATGTTTAAGATCAATTTTAGATATTTACAGGATTCAGTGGCCTGCTTATCACGGAATAACAGAATAGTTTTGGTTGAAAGAGACCTTTAGAGGTCATGTGGTCCAACCCCCCTGCAGTGAGCAGGGGCATCCTCAACTAGATCAGGTTGCTCAGAGCCCTGTCCAACCTGGCCTGGAGTGTTTCTAGGGATGGGGCCTCCACTACCTCTCTGGGCAACCTGTTCCAGTGTAAAACCACCTTTAGTGTAAAAAATGTCTTCCTTATATCCAGTCTAAATCTACCCTCCCTTAGTTTAAAACCATTACTCCTTGTCATGTCACAACTGACCTTGCTAAAAAGATTGTTCCCATCTTTCTTATAGGCTCACAGAAGCTAAAACACTGCTATTGCAGGGGCAGTGCTTGCAGTGCTAACCAGGATCTTGCTTCCTCTCTACAAGCACATGGGTCAGTGAATACACATCAGCAAGGAAAGCAGCCTGGCTTTCTTACCAAATCCACCCTTGCTCTCTCATTGCAGGGTCCCAAGACACATGAAAACACTGACATGCTCCTGGCTTTCTGTTCCCCTAGTTTTGGCTTGTACCATACACCCCTTTCCTTAAGTGAAAGAAGCCATGGTACGCTCT